GCTCGCGCGCGCGGCCGCCACCCCGCCGCTACCGCTGCCGCCTGGTTACCCCGAGCCGGACGCTGCCGCCGGTCCCCACTCGGCCCACTCCTTCATCTGAATGGGAAGTTGGGGAACATGGACGGGGTCGTGCTGGCGCGGATCGCTCTCTTCTGGCTAACAGGTAGGAGTCATTTTCTACCCACGCGAATAACTTTATGTATATCCCCTCGGTGTATATGTATATCCCACCCCACCCCCACCCCCATCTCCCCCCTGGCTGGGCTTAAAGCTGCTTAGCAGGTCGGCCTTACGTGGGGGAAGGGGCTCTGTGTGTGCGTGTGTGTGTGTGTGTGATGGAGGAGGCGGGGGGAGAATCCCATTACAAGTGAGACGGATCGAGATGCAGGTGTTTGACTCCTTGGGCTATTGTTTGGGCATTTCCTCACCCACACAACGGTTCTTCTGGGTCTTACCCTGAGTTTGTGATGCTGTGGGCCCTGGGAAGAGCCTGGTTAGGAAAAAAAAAAAAAGGAAGAAAGAAAGCTCGGAGGAGACATTAATTAAGAGAACTGGTTTCTGGAGGTGAGGGGTGGAGGAGTGTCTCCCTAATTCCTTCCCTAGAGAAGCCAGGAGACCCAGCCGCATTCTCTCTGTGGCTCCGGGGTGCAGTGGGGCGCGGGATGAGGAAGGAGATGGGGACGGAGGCTTGATTGGTTGTGGAGTTTAGGGCCCTGCTCTCTCTCGCTTGGTACCATTTGAGGAGTGGTCCCATAGCGGAGAAGGACTTCCGAAATAAACAGCCTCCCCTCCCCCAATAAAGATAAATTGCAGAGATATTCAGAAGGTAGAGCTTCTCCTCAGCATTAAAGTCACTTCCGCTAGCTGGATACTCCGTGTTTCCCCCTCCCTTTAGTGGTGAACTTTCTCCCCACCCGCCTGCGGTCTGGAAAGTCTCTCGTTGCCTCAACCGAGGGTCCTGCGAGGTTGAGGGGCCAGTGGCCAGGCAGGGTGGCTAGCCCTGGGGGACTCACAAAGTAGCCCAGCTTGGGTGCTGGTGAGGATGGGTAGGAAGGTTCGGTAGCTTGGAAGGGGCTGAGACAAAGATTCCCAGCAAGGTGCAGACGGAGTGATGGAGGAAAGGAACAAGGGATCAGAAAGGTTTTGAGGACAGGGTGAGGGCAGTGCAGGGCAGGAGAGGAAATAGAAAATAGCACCTCCAAAAATGAAGTTCTGTCCCCTCTGGGGACACCAATCAAGATTTGGAAAAAATCAAGTCAGTAGGAAGTTTAAAATATTTAAGGCAGTCATTGAAATAGGGTAAATGTATATAGGAAGAAAAGCAAAAACTCTATTTCCCTTAGCTTCGGAATAAGATTATTGATTGCCTCAGTTTTGTTTTGTTTTTTCCTCTTTCAAATGAAGGACCCCTAACCCTGGTTCTGCTCCATGCTGGCTTTAGGTTTGGGGGATGGGGGTGGGCAGGGCTTGTCTGCAGAGTTAGCCTCTTCTCTCGGCTGCTCTGAGTTCATCCCTCCCACATTATTCAAATATGAATCATCTCTAATTTCAGGGTTTGGCTGATCCATGTCTCCCCACTCCCCTGGCCTCCCAGTGCCTTCCACTTTCACCCTCACTGATTCTGAATGTCCTTGATTTGCCTCTACTTCTATGTTACCATACTAGAAGGGAACTTAGGCCTGAAGCCTGGATCACCACCTCCCTGAGGTCAACTAGGCATCCTGGGGCAGGAGGGCTCTGAGTCCGAGATGCTCTTCCAGACACCCCAGGGTGTGCCCAAGAAAAGCACTTGAGGGATTTGCAGGGAGTGGGAGCAGAAGGGGTTCATATGGCCCTGCTAGATGGCTAACAGCTTTTTATGAGCTGCAATCACATCATTGGAAGGGGCCACAGGCCATCTAGGCCAGCCCTCTCAGTTTATAGAAATGGAGGCCCAGAGAAGTGATAGGCACACAGCAAAGGTGAGATGGAGCAGGGACTCGAACCCAGTTCTCTGAACCCCAGGCCAGTCCCATTTGCATTCTTCTGAGCTGCCTCTCTGGGGTTTTTTCATTGCAGGGGGTTCTGTTTTGTGTTTATTTTGAGGGGAGTTGCTGCTTTGTCCGTGTCTTCTTTGCTCCGTACCTGGAGAGGTGGCCCCCAGCCTGGTGGCAGGCAACAGGTCAGTTACGAGGGCCAGCTCAGCTGTCTGATGGCTGGGCTTCTGTGCTCTGCACGTGGGGCTGGCTCTAAAGATCCCATCGAGCATGGCGGGCATCCCCTGCTCCCAGCTTCGGCTTCCCCCCTCATCCCCTCAGGCTGTCAGGTGTGCAGCTGGACAAGCCGCCTCTCAGCCTCAGCAGAGTAGAGTAGCTAACAATGGCGGCTGGGGGGTGGGGGTGGGTGAGGAGCAGTCAAGGATGAGATGGATTCAGACTCATCGTTCACAGAAAAGCCATGAGAGGAAAGGTAAGAAATTTCCGTCCGGCCCAATCAATGAATTCTCTCTTGAGGGGGTTGTACAAAGGGAGGGAGAAAGGGAAGGACAGATTAAAAATGAGTCAGAGAGCTGGGAGGAGGGGGGTAGGGACGGGACACATTCATTCTCCTTCTCCCTCCCTTTCTCCTCCCCCCCTTTTCTCTTCCTGTCCTCCCTTCGCCCTCCCCTGTTTGTCTCTTTTAATGCAGGCTGAGCAATTTCTAATCAACCCTTTAGTTTTTTTCCCCCTCGGTCTCAGGCAGCTCCTTCCTTGTCTTTATTGCTAAAGTCTGCCTCATGATTTCTTATTGTCATTGTGATGCTGCTTCCTGTAATAAATTGTTGTTGTTCTGAACCAACACAATGCTTCTCAGCTGCTGTTTGAGCAACAGGTGCCATCCGGCAGTAGGACCTGAAGGAGGGTTCACTCGGTCTTTGTTCCTGAATTCGGATGGCGTCTCCTCCTTTCCTGGCGGGAGAGGCTGTGAGAAACCCTGGCGCTGGGTCCCCTCGGCGAACACACTCACAGGCGGGAGCAGGCGATGCGTTTTCCTGGAGACTCCTGGGTCTCGCTGTGATGAAGATTGCTTGCTCTATTAGCATTTCTTTTGGTAGCCTTTGGATTTTATTCATTCATCTATTCATCCACTCTGCAGGCACATATTAAATTCCTGGGCTTGCTAAGCGTTAGGATAGGTGCCGAGGATAAAGAGAGAGAAAAGACACAGTCCTTCTCCTCCAAGGGTTGTCAGTCGAGTCAGTGACTCAAGTGAGTTTTCTGGTGATTTTGATTTGGGAGCAGAAGGTCTTCCGATGAGAGCTGTGAGCCACACAGGGGCCAGGAGAGCATGGAGGGGGCACCCCCAAGCCAAGCCTGAAGTGGAGATTGGAGCCATCGTGAAGGGAACTCCTAGGAGAGGTGGTGGCTGAGGGAAGACAGGTGTTCACACCTCGTCAGTGGCTGAGTTACCACCACGTCCAGGCATGGTGCTGGGGTTAATAAGATGAGTAAGACACAGCCCTGCCTTCCAGCACTCGCAGGCTGGTGGCAGGACACAGTGATGGAGTAGCCTGTGCCCAGGCAATAAGGGAGATCTGCACCAAGTGCTGTGGGGTGCTTCACGGTGGCTCCTAACCCAGCCTGCGGCGGGGGTAAGGAGGTGTCCAGGGGTGTTTGTTACCTGTTCTGGTTTGCATTCCGGTGGATACATGGTGACTGTGTGCCGAGAGGCTCGGATGCAGAGAGTTAAAGCGTTAATATTAGCCCTGGAGAAGGAAGAGTCGCTTTCAGAGACTGCTGACACCTCAACTTCTACTGTCCCCTTCCCTGTCCTGCACACCTTTCAATTTCTCTCCCTCTTCTGTTCTTCTTTCCCCTGCAGAAGAGACCTTGCTCTTACCAGAGCATCTTCTTTCAGCACTCTATCACAGCCCTCCCCACTCCCCTCCTTCTCTCAGCCAGATGCTTCTCTCTGGACCAGAGGAGGGGGCTTGTCTCAGTTATCCCTCTTTAGATTTTAGACTCACATGATTCTGCTGGTTGGCTAGTTTCTACAGACTTGGAATTATTACTAGTAGCAGTCTTAGTGCAATACTATGCTTGTAGTCTTAGTGCAAGTACTTAGTGCTCAGTACAGTGTTCCTAGTGTCAGTACCAGGACTTGGTTGGTGGAAGGAACCCTGACCTGGGAGTTAAGGATTGGTTTCTAGTCCTACTTGCTCCATAGACTGACTGTGTAACCATGGGATCTGGGTCTCATAATCTGTTGAATGAGATGACTTCTGAAGTCACTTTCAGCTCTAAGATGCTATGGTTTAGAATCTTTTCTCCATTTAATTTTGATGAGTTGGAAGTCACAACTAAAGAGTGACAGGTCCAGTCTTCCTTTTGTAATTCACCCAGTGAAAAGCCCTTTTTTTCAGCCTTTCCCTGATCATTAATGATTGGAATGAAAGACACCAGCTGGGGAGGGAGAGCTGTTGTTAGGATTTTCAGGGGAACAGATGGAATAGCACTCAGGGCTTGGTGGATAGGAGAGGGTCCACTCCGAACGATGAAATGTGGTCATACTGGGACTGGTAAAGGATGGCAAGCACTTTGGACCAGGTGGGATGCATCCCACTATAGCCAACATGGCCCCAGGATGTCCCTTCTAGTCTCAGTTCACCTTTTCACGCCTTCCAACATTTTAGCTTTTATGCCTTTTTTTTCCCCAATCAAGAATATAAAAAAGGTATGATGTGGTTGTTGTTCTTGCTTATTTATATGCTATAATGCTTTTCTGTATGTTAAAGGACTTTCATCTACATTATGCCTTTTGATCATTCTAAGCAAGAATGGCTGATACTGCCTCCTTCTACGTAAGAAGACAGAGGCTCAGAGAATACATAACTTGTCCAAGTCCATGGTATCTTATTGATTAAAAGAATAAGAAACAGTATCGCTGACTTAACATGACTTGGTTGTGTCAAGGGCCAGAATCCAAGGGAAATATTCTTTTCTGCTTACGGTGGGTCAAAGTAGAACTCTTGATTTAAGTGAACATACCTGGTGTCTGTTACGGGGCACTGGGTAGTGAGGCTCAGAATTCATAGAACTCAGGGAAATATTGCAGGGAAAAGTGAGAAAAAAATAGCATTTAGATTTTCCAATTAAATTCTAAGATCTAAAGGAAAGGCGTAAATGAGAAGTGAGGCACAGGAGA